ATCTTATATATATTTATAGTATGGCCTTAAGAAAAACTGAATACAACATCAATGTTAACTTTGACAAAAACCTGAGAATTAGCTATTGCTGTTTTTTGAAATTTTACATTTTTCACTAAGTTATTTTTCATGAAAATCATGTTTTGTTATCAAATAAATGTGAGTACGTGATAACAGTGAAATTATTTTGATAAAATGTAAATAATAAAACTGATAATCATCCTAGCGAAATTTAAGATTTGACCTTGAAGTTCACATATTTATGTGATAGATATGATAATGTTTTACTATCTGTGGTAAAGTTCACTGATTTTAAATCTAGTCAAAATGTTTTGACCTGACAAAGCTAGATTCTAAGATATTATTGTTCAAGGTCAGAGGGGAGATATTACCCATGCACATTAGAGCACAGCATCAGCACGCATAGTTCAATGTGTTGGCCTAACTGCAAATCCAGAGGTCGCGAGTTCGGGTCACTTCTGTATTCTCCAGCTTTAATTTACTAACAAACTTTCGATGAGACTCAACCGAGGTCCTCATTATTAAATCTCAATCTGCTGGCGGCAAATGTATCTACAATTGCTACCAGTGCAGACCAAGACCAGCCAGCACAACCGTGCTATCGTCTGCGCTGATCGCTTTTTCAGTCATGACTCTATCTATTACACAATTCTCATTAAAAAAACACACAATCCTTCCTCTGAAGCCAGTACGTTTTTTACGGTGGCAATTATATTAGGACCACCGTCGATGACCCATCCCGAAGTTTGCCGGAAAATGCCGAGAAGTAGCGATTGTAAAAATAACTAGACAACTACCATACTGTCTGTTTACTGACAACTTTATTAATGTCTTGTTTTGATTTATTAACATACAAAATATGAGGTGTTTGTTTTGTTGTTATAAATATATTCAGTGTAAACAAACTGATGTCAAAAAAGCGACATTTCGGTACTCAAAATATCTAAAATTGTTGTGTTATCTATATATATTGAGTATTCTGTTCTGTTCTATTCTAATCTGTTATATATCAATATACTTATTTCAGTAGTTTACTTAAGTTATTGTTTACTTGTAAACGCTGGTAAAATATTGAGTAAATATTAAAAACAAACAAACAACTTATGTTGAAACAAAAAGAGCAAGGTATTTTAAGGTTAAATTATTTCCAGCTCTGTATTATTTTTAGAAAAGAAAAATATTCACAAGTCATTCAACTAATATAATCGCAGGTGTCCGGCCTTAACCAGGCCATTCGACTAATTACAGGGGCTCGATCTCAACTTATTGTAGGGCTTCAAACTCACAAATCTGAGTTATGTGTGCCTTAAATAGTAATTCGCTTCTGTTAAATCTTGTTAAATCTACTCATAAAAATCAGTCTTTTTCATCTTTGAAAAGATTAACCTAAAGAATGTAACACGATCCCAGGAGTCCCATTACGGACGAACTATCATTGAAGTTAGAATTTGAATAACAGTACACCGTAAAGTTTACACATGAAGTATTACATGGAATTTGAACATTTTATATGATCAGCTATCAATTACAACCGGTATCGAAAGGGTTAATCTGTTGACAGGCGATCTGTACTGTCTCACACCGGTCCTTCTTTTCGCCGTAATCTAAAAGGGAATGCCAGTGATCCCATCCTTTCCTAAAGGTCTTTGATTATAGTTAATCAACGAGGTGTTCCGACTGACAGTGTTTCAAGCCCTATATATAATAAATAACTTAATAAAACGAAATGAAATTATTTTTAGCCAAAAAAATTATGATCTTTTATGACGGAATTACACGCCTTTTGGTGGAGGGGGGAAAGTATCAGGCTCGAGCCCATTCGTAATAATAGTCCGTTTGGAAACACATTGAAAGACCCCTTTTTCTAACTATTATTGACCAAAGACAAACTTTCAACCAATCAACATTTCTTTTACACTAAGTCTGCCACTGCAAGTTTAAAGTCACATTATGCCACAGAAGCGAATAAATTTTCCTGCTTCAGATGAGTTTTATATCTTTAACTAAAGGTTTTAGAGCATACAGCTTAGAACCTGGAGAACGAAGCGATGAATGCGAAATTAATTATCAATAAAGTACTAAAATGTAAGCAAAATAGAGACTTCCATACAAAATACTCAATCATAATACGTAACTGCTAATTTCCAAAAGAGAAAGTCCAGGCAATTGGCCAATGAGTACTAGTAACTGTTTTGGAAACTATACAAGGATACCAAAATAACAAGCTTTTGGGAAATAAAAATGAAAGCATTTCTGAGACATAATGGGCCTTTAAATCGCGATATTCTATTCACTGGACATATTAATTTATCTTCATGTAACTAACACGTTTGAACTATCCTTTATGACATAGCTATGTTGTGATGATTTTATTTTGGCCTAATTACTTATATACAATATAAACATATATCTTTTTGTAAATAGCATATAGTACAGCCTCGTTCTCATATTTTAGCGATGTTGTCAACTTGTCACTCGTAGTCGAAACATTCGCAAGTGTGTGTTATTATTTTCAAAAATAGTAATTCTGAACTTATCTTCAACTTTTCACAAGGCAGTCTAACATAATTATTTCCTGTAAATGTGCAGTCCGGTTGCACTTTTTATGTTTATTATATGAAATAAGAAATACAATAAAAGTGCAAACTGGCTGATATATTTCATGTGGAATTTTTCGCAAGTAGAAAAGAAATACAGTGAAAAATATCCAACTGTAGCTTTTTCATGTTGATTAATATAAAATAAGAAGAGAACCACAGTAAAACTGCCACAAACAGTTAAATCACCATTTATATAGTTTTAAGAGCTATAAAAATCTAAGTAATTAAGAGAGTCAACATGATTTTATACTTTCATCAGGTGAAAAATCATAAGTCTTATCAAAATTTAGTATCTTTGTATATATTTATCACATAGTTATTCTATTTTTATCACTTTAACCGCATTTATGAAACTGTAATAAAAACGCAACGTGATTTATGAAATGCTGCTTAGCAACGACTATAAAATTTTAAATTTCGTATATTTTATGCAAACGTGAATTAAGAGAAAATAATGAATTTAGATATACTTTGTAGTTTACCGAGCATTTTATTAATCATACACTTTGTTAAACATGCACTTTACATGAAACGAGCAGACTTAAAATATTAATTTCTAGCTATCAAAATTTTCAATCATAATTATATTAAATCCTAGTATCTACCAGAAATAACCATAAATTACGAAACTTTAAGATCTCATTTCTTTTGAAGTTAATATACATAAAATAAGAACTTAATTAATATTCATGCATTCTTTTGTAATAGACAATTATAAAATGTTGTTATCGTTATCGATTCTTATTATGTATTCCGGTTATGTCTAGGAATTCGTACAATTATACAAAGAATATAATCTAAAAATAACTCTTTTTTTCCATTTCTTGTGTACTATGAATAGGGCACAGTATTCTTCCCAAATTGACATAATTAATGTGAAACAAGTCTTTCTTTTTTCAAAAGGCACCGGACCTGGTTAAGGTCCAAATCTCATTGGGAATATGAGCCGATATGTGATACATGTTTAATCAATACCGGGTATATCAATGGAGCAGTCCATGCTTTAATTTGGAAAAACCATTCAACTTTTAGGAACATTTTCATACATTAACATTCTGAATAGCGAACAGTGCAGACCATAATCACGCGGCACAGACGAATCTTTTCAAAGTAAGTATTGACTAAATAGCTAAAGTGCAGACCTATAATGAGGCGGCACAAACGGGTCTTTGACCGAATAGCGAACGATTCGTCTGTCTAAATATTCGGACGGAATCTTTTAACAGGTCTCAACACGTGACCTTTATGTATATATTTTGCATAATTTGTATGATTTATTGTATGATTTATTATATACAATGCAATATTATTATTCAAAACTGTTCTCAGATTTCTAACTACGTTTACAGTTTTCAAACTACAGTAGATTTATATTGACAACTTCGAATTCTTTATGTTTATTGTATAAATTAATCAGTTATTCAGGTATAATTGAAGAAGTAAAGAATAATGTCTATAAACTTTGCAGAATAAAATGGCCGGGTAAACATGTAATGAAGTGTGTGTTAAATTTAAAATGGGCGTGTGATCATTACATAAACAGTGGACTCTTGACGCATGGTCAAGTAGATCACTACATAATGACCAACTGAACTTGGCATTTCTTTTAACCATATATAATATCCGAATTCAATGCCAATAATATACCCGAATTAAATGCCAATAATATACCGTTTTAAATAAACATGAACGATATTTTTTTCATAAAAAATAACGCCTAATCTGTTATAGAAAGAACGCTGAAAGAATGCCATTCAATTTGAAGTTTGCAGTTTTTTATGCATACCCGCGACACATGTTACTTTTAATTGGAATGGTTAAATAACCAATCAACTTGAACTGATCGAACTTTGTATAAATTATTGACATAAAATTTCCATGTCGATTTCACTCACGACAAATCGTCCTATTTGATGAGTAAGCAATACATCTGCATTTTCTTTTTCAACTGCGGCGACAAAATTGCAAGATTATCCTTTTGGTAAATATGACTTTTGATATAAAGTCAATTAATGCCTCTTTGAAAACAACAGTTCATTAATGGTATTAATTTTAATTAAATTGACCTATTAATGGCTTAAGATTCATTCAAAACCTTTTAACATTGTTCATTAACGTGTGATATAAGTCCATCAAAGGCAACGATTAACAACGAAATTATTCAACTTCGAAAAAAAGATAAACATGGTGTTTTTGTAGTACATTCAGAACGCTCTAGCGTCAGGCGGACTATATGTTTTGTTTTGCCAAGCTTCAACAGTTCGCATGACTAAAAATAGTCCGTTCACCGGGCAAATTTGGTATGAATGTAACGTTTTGACAATCCATCACTCTGACAAGCCACGATGAGAAATCTAACTTACTGACACATTTTCTTACCTTAATCGCTAAAAACTTGTCACTTCATTTTCTTGTGCAATTAAACCGGAAGGCACGCGGGTAGTCTCTTTAAAATCGCACGACGCATGCGCACTCTCACTATCTGGCTCGTGCGTATCGTCTGTTTCTCCAAACGGTGTTTCGCAGACGACCTCTTCTCCATCTAGAGAATTGTCGTCTGCGGCCGTTAAACTTCCGTCTTTTGAATCTGGCTCGTGAAATCCAGACTCTGAACTTTCCTCATCGGAATCACCTGCATGCGATATACAAAACTGTACATCACCGTCCAGTTTTAATTCCTCAATATTATTTCCAATTTCTAGGTCTATCACGCGCTCTGACAATTTCTCACTATTATAATCTAATACACTTTTGTCATGCCCGTGTAGTGTAAGGGCGTTAAATGTTGGGGAAGGAATTCTGTCAGTGTCCCCATCAATACAATCCTCCTCTTCTTCATCTTCTTCTAATATGACGTCATCTTCATGCTCTAGATCTTCGTGAATTGATCCTAATTTTGGTGCCGTATTAGATTTACTTATTGGAGGCTTAAAATTTTGTCCTCTACTCAACATTTGAGTTCTTTTAGGCACTACAGAGTTGCCGTGTAGAGGCAATGAATTTGTTCTTTGTAAAGTGAGTCTCGCGTTCTGCTTTCTCGTTTTTTCACGCATGAATTCCTTCAGTGCAAACGAGATTTTCTCATGAAGCTGTACGGCCATCGCTTTTGCTTTGGCTTCCGATTTACATAAAACGGCGTGACATCGTAATTCCAACTTCATACGCTTACCTATATAAAATAAAACAAGAAATCAGTGATATAAAAAGTGCAACAGAACTATATATAATATCATTGAACAATTCTCTGTAAAAAAAGTACTTATAATCATTTCTGAGAAAGATCTCGCAGAGAACTATATACAAATGTATATCTTTTGTAGTTTGTACATATGCAAGCTGTTGCAACAATATTGAATTTGGTTCACAATGTACCTATTGAATCGTACATATAAATAATGCACGATTTCTTTAATGCATTTTACATGTAGGTAAATATTATGCACCAGTCAACTGCAACTACATAATTTTGGGGAAGTGCGGGTAATAGCGGGAAAATAAGCAGTCTTTTACATCTTCCCTGCCTCCACACTGCCGGGGGAAAATGCGGTGGTTTTGTTTTGGCGCAAAAATGACCATGGAAATGTTCGTTCTAATTGCAGTGTGAGGACTTTTAGGTGGGTTTTTATCGTCTGTTTCCTTTTCTCACGTTTTTCTTTAAGACCTCGCTATTCCTGTGAATGTGGGTGGTGGTTTTAACTTACTGGTGCATAATTTTATGCATTTTGTACCTGAATATGCCAAGGTAAAGGAATAGGGTAAAATGTTTTGTCATGTCATCAAGGGCATGACCCACATTGTTAATTTTTTCTTCAAGTGAGCTTCTATTATACATGATGCAGCATAAAGGGTTGGCATTGTTTTCTTTGTTTATTCTTTAAAAAAAAACCTTAAGACCGTAAATAATAGACGAACGCTTGAAAATGACTTGTTCCAATATATAAGCTGTGGTAAAAGTGTTTGGCTCAAATTGTATGAAAAAGGAATATAACTCTAGGGAAGTATTTGACTCCCTAGTCGTTGTCAATAAAGAATATATTACTTAAAACAAACATATCCTAGATAACAGAGTTTTAAATAACTTAAAAGATAATTCAAAAGCCAACTTTAGAAATTAAACTTTTTTTCCAGCGTCGATAGTAAGACTACTAACGTTTGAGCCTCATTTGTAACCAAAAAAAAAGAGTTTTAATTAACTCGACCAATCCTGTTAGTGTAAACTAATAGGAAAATAGACAATAGAGGAAATGTAGACAAAACGAAGGCCAAATGTTTTCATAAATATGTCCGATATATAACAAGCGGAAACGTTTTACAGTTATATTAATGTGTTTGCGTCAGACGACAGTCATCTCACACGTCTGCCGACCAAAAATAACTAAATGTTGGTTGTTATGACGACATGTAACTTACATGGATGGGTAACCAAAATAAAATTATATTCAAAATATAGATATGTAAATCTTATTTTAGGTATTATGGTTATATCACGGTGGTTTGCGCATAAGCGGGAAAAAAGTGAATGAATGACATTTTTTAGTATATTTTGTAAATCTCCTCATAAATGACAAAGCAACACCTGATGCTTTGGTTTTTTTTGATCGACATGTTTTATAATTATATAGTTATGTTTACGGATATGGGCAGACGATGGAACTGACCGGATACTGGAGATATTACACATGTTTCCGGTATACCCAGCCAGTAACTAGGGTTGAAAAAACTCATAATCATTCATTTCCATTACGTTTGAATTGAGCATTTAATTTAATGAAGAAGAAAGACAATTCCACTTAGAAATACTGCACTATGATCGACGACACAGCGTTCTCTGACAAACAGGAAAATACACTCCCCTAATGAAAAGCTTATTGGATGGTTTTCGTACAGATTTTAGTAAATTCCATCAGACAAACAGTCTGGCTCTAGTCTTGAAAAATACCAATTAAGTGAATGTAAATTGGCAGGAAAGTCGTCATTCCTGCCGACCGGAAGTAACATAGAAATGTGACGGTCTCGAGCATCCGCAATATCCGCTTCTATCTCAGATACTGTGAATGGTAAATGACTAAATGTATTAAATTTTGCTTAATGATACATTATTTGCATGGGCGTTTTTACGGCCAAGTAGGCGGGTAAAATTACCAGCAAATTCATTTGAGCCATGCGTGGCTGGTTTTTATATACCCACCAAGTTTAAGAAATAACCCAGCTTTTTTTAATGAAGCCTCTGTATTTGGATAAAAACGCATACTGCAGGGCAGAGTAAGTTCTTGTTAAGTTACGTCAATGGAGAGCAAATATACAAATATGTTAGATCTACACATAAATACTTATTCAAGAACGTATTTTACCTTCATGTCTATAAACCCAAATGAACAGTTTCGGGTACGACGGATGTGCAATACAATATGATATCCGGTGAGCTCGATACTCCGTCAGGCCTTGTTCCTTTGTAAACGCTTTCAGACCGGAAGAGGTCAAGGTCAATTTCATTTCGAGGCCAGGGCTCGTGCTGCGAAGGTAATTGTTCCAGATTATGCCTACAGGTTTGTCAACGCAACCGTCACCTTTCATCATGGCGGTTTGGACGTTACCAAGGTAACGGACTTTGTACACGGGGTCTACGTCATTTATGACGAGACTTTTCTTCTTCTTAAAGAGACTCATTTTGTCGTCTGCTGCAAGTTTTCTTTAGTTACATTTAGTAGTTATTCCGGAAGTAGCTATCAAGACATCTGCAAACAGAAAATACATATATTTAAATTTATTTTACCAGTAATACAATATTCTGTAATGCAATCATTAGAGGAGGACGTAGGAAGACGTAGGTTGTATAATTACCGATGAAGAACAGTGTGCCTGTCATCAAATGACTTGTATTTTATATCAGTTTCATGACAATGGTGTATGCATTGTGCAAATAAAAAATATCAAATTTGGTTCACTTTTTCACCTTAAAAACGAAAACAAAACAATAAATGGATCATGACATTAAACTATTACATATATATTATACATAAATAAAAAATATATATATAAATTTCCAGTAAAGTTATTTATATTAACACTTTGATCATACAAAATGAAAACTACAATTATTAACAATAGGAATCTCCAAATATTAAATAAATTAATCATTAACTAACTCCCCCATGGTCATATAAAACAAACGCTCTTTGAACGATTGTGTACGTGTGTAATGATATTTCAATTTTTTATGTACAAAAATATACAAGTTTAAACAGCATAAAAAAGCTGGATAACTGGAACATTACATTGTATGACAGCATGAAATCAAGCTGGATAACTGGACATAACATTGTATGACAGCACAAAATCAAGCTGGATAACTGGACATAACATTGTATGACAGCACAAAATAAGCTGGATAACTGGACATAACATTGTGTGACAGCATAAAAAGCTGGATAACTTGAACACAACATTGCATGACAGCATAAAGATGAGCTGGATAACTGGAACATAACAATGTGTGATAGTCTGTCATAATTTGGATTTCTTACTGTGACAGGTCTTGGCACTGTACTATAAAATAGGTAAGAATACATTATAATTCTCACTTTATATAACACTGATTGATATAGGTAAAAAATCTTATAAATCTAAGTATAATTCCGGATTAACTGTTGAATAACCGCCCATTGTCCCAGATAAAAGCATAGTAGACAGGTTTTAGTATATATAATACCCAATATAAAATATATTAATAAAAAAATAACCCAGATATCTGGAACATAATATTAGATATAGAAAATATAGAAAATATCTCACTACCCTAAGGAAAGAATTTCTAATAATTTCGAGAGTGAAATTATTTAACTGGTGAAATATATACTATATCATTCATTCATTTCATTCATCTTTCATCTAAATTGTAAAAGAATGAAAAGCAATTAATCATAACAATGTTTTTGAATAGATTGATATATTTTATCCTTCTCTGACAAAACCATGTATTTCTTTATAATATATTGTCAAAATATTAGTATTGCCTAATTCATCTGCATGCATTTTTAGTAAACTAAATTTAATAGTAATCAAAGATAATATGTTAATTTTACAATCAGATATAATATATTAATGAAGTCCGCGTAATTTCATGCTTGTTTTTATCAAACCCAGTTTGTTTGGCAATGCTTTATCGCTGATATTATCAAGTTAAAATATAGATTTATCGCTGATTTTATCAAGTTAAAATATAGATAGTTTTAAACAGGCCGGAACAAATACATATATCTCTTTTTTGTTATCATTATTGGAAAGCGATTTTCAACCCAAAATGTGTACAATTCTATCTAAAGAAGAATCAATAGCAGTATTTGATCTCTCTATACAACAAAGGAATCGGTAACAAAAGGCGATTTTGAAAAAAATAGTCCGGGCACTTGTATATCACCCTAAGGTCACGAGTTTAACTTACTTACTAATGCAATGTTTTAAATGTAATCAAAATAACCAGGTCACCATTCTGTCATTTTCAACATTCTATCGTTTTGCTGTATATTAAAGGTGATCTCTGACAATTATTTGCGATAACATCAAAGTAAATTACGATTATGTGATAAGAAGGGCTAAATCGTTAAATCAATATTTTCTGTGGTTATATATGTAATATCATATTATATATATGTATATAGATCTATATATATATATGGGAGCATACCTCTAACGTAATAAAATGTCCGGCGGTGACAAGCCTTTGATGAATACACAGTCGTATATAAATGGCAGGTGCGTCAAATGACCTATATCACAGAAAAAATGTCCCAATTTCAAAACAGCCAATGTTTTTAAATAAATAAAATAAACACGATAATTCCAGTGTCACAGTATTGGTATGCTATATCCAATTTCAGAAATATTTATTTGGATAAACAACTTTGCCGCTTGACAAAGTAGATAAAAATCAGCAAAATAGCTGGTATACCAATTGATTCACGGTTGACTGAATTAAACATGCAGACAAAATTTCACAGTTTAATTCAATAACCAAAACACACCTGTGAAAGTTAATTTATCCAATATCGGTTTGTACTCACTTCCAAACAATCATTTATGTATAACAATGTTATATGAATGATAAACTTCTCAATAAGTCACTACAACTGTAAGAAAGTTATTTCCAAATTTTTGACAGATCTGTGAAGGTAAGTTTTTCACCTGTAGTGACTGTATACATAAATCTGTTTAAGGAAGTCGTACCTGTAATGTCATGTGACAACAATCGGTGTCGCTGATTGGTCGATATCTCTCTTCGGACTATCTCGTGATTTATCGATACTACAATGAAAACCAACAGCGGGCTTGATAATTAGATGATTAAATTGACTAGTGGAACAAATTTCAATAATACATGCTACCACATACAAAGTATGATGTATTTCATGAATGAAAGGTGATATCAAGCGCAATATATAGGTATGACTGGCAGGAAAATTACGTACGGAATACTACAAAATAAACTTTAAAGTAAAACAAGCTACATGTATATAACTAGAAAGGCATGTAATATGTACATGACATAGGCAGATTGCAATAACCGGCGCTAAGTCATTATTATTTAGGAATTTTCTAAAGAGACAACCTATGACATTTTATAATATTTTACATGGAAGTTATAGAAATATCCACTTCCTCTGCTCGGTCGCTGACTTAGACTCGAATCCCCCTCACCGTTCCAGGTTCGAATCTCGCGTGAGAAAGCTCTGGAATTCCAGCTAGGTTACTCAATGTCAGTGTTTTAACTCCGGTGCCTGAAATATTGCACAGAAGTTCTTCCTTCGCCAGTAAAGACGAAGTGTCGCCGCATGAGCTTTTCAGTCTAAACTTGTGTGATTTGAGTCACTTGGCACCAACAAAAATACTTGGGTCTAACACTTACTTGTTAGACCAACCGATGTCGGTTCATTTTCTCAAAGTCCTATATCTTTCCGATATCAGAAATTAATCAACATTAAGGCGGTTTCGTGTGACAGAGAATTATTTCAAACACATAACTGGGATTGTTTTAATTTCGTTGCAAAAATTTAAACCTTATTTATTGACAGCGTATTTCATCCTCTTTTCCTATATGTTAATTAAATGTATATGACATTTTTATCGATATTTAGGTATTAAGTAGGGTGTTATAACCATTTACTTTTTTGAAAACATAAATAGTGGAATTAAATCATGTATACTTTTATAAAAATGTATATTCTGCCGCAGAAAAGTTATGCATTATCTAAGCACGACATCTTTCAGCTGCACGTGTTTTTTTATTTCCTGATTACGTATTTTAGTTAGTGGTAGTTCATGATCAAGTTTGTTTTTAAGTTAATTTGAAATATGTGAATGGTCGCCAATAGACGATACATGCCGTCAAATTACGATAAGAATAGAATGCGAAATCGCTTCCTAGTTACTGATACATTCCGGTAACTATACAAAATAAATGGTCGCTTAAATTAGTTCAAAAGATTGAACAAAATACATAAAAAAACTTGGCACAATCATAGATGACAAAAACGACTAGCTCATAATTTAATAGATTTTTCTGAATAATAAATTTCGATAACGAAATGGACCCCATAGATGCTAAGCAACTCGGCGAATATTTTATACATTTTTTTCAGATATCATTATGAAATATATGATAACTTAGTTTGGAAACGCTTTTTGGGGGAAATAGAAAGTTAAAACCAAATTAAATTGTTATCTTTTGCTGTTTTTACATTAGAGATTCAGCAATTTGCCATTTTTAGAAGGAAAATTCAAAACTCTTAAGGGTTTTGTTTACTCCTTGTTTATAAGGCTCGGGAACTCCTTTTTTCAGAATTTTAATTTGTCATACCAGAAGGTATCAGCTGAACTATTCAGGAAGTGTGAAAACGAACGCTGACGAATCTACGACATCCGGGTTACACGATCCTCATCCTGCACACCATCTGTATGTAGTTAAACAAAAGGAAATATACTTTCTTCTTTGAATTTCATGACGATAATTGTATTTTGATGTCCGGCATTGGGAGCAGAAAGTACAAATTGTAATTTTAGTAATAAATTTACTAAAACTGTAATGTAGTAAAACGTTGTATTACACTTTTTGTATGTATTAAAACGTCGTTTACCCGTGTTAGGTAGTAACGTTGTATAACACGTGTATGTATGAACGTTGTATTACACGTGTATGTATTAACGTTGTATTACACGTGCATGTAACAACGTGGTATTATACGTGCATGTATGAACGTTGCATTACACGTGTATGTATTAACGTGGTATAACACCTGTATGTATTAACGTTGTATTACACTTGTATGTATTAACGCTGCATTACACGTGCATGTATTAAAGTTGTTTTACACGTATATGTATTAACGTTGTATTACACGTGTATGTATTAACGTTGTATTACACATTTATGTATTAACTTGTATGACACGTGCATGTATTAACGTGGTACTACACGTTTATGTATTAATATTGTATTACACGTGTATGTATTAACGTGCATGTATTAACGTTGTATTACACCTGTATGTATTAACATTGTAATACACGTGTATGTATTAACGTTGTATTACACGTGTATACATTAACGTTGTAGTACACGTGTATGTAGTAACGTTGTATTGAACGTGCATGTAGTTCACGTTTGTAATTGGTTGGTTTAAACATATTATTTTAAGCTCAAATTGCGAAACAGTTCTTGCAACTTTATATTAATCACTTTCGAGTCCGCTCCCTGGAACCAACCATACTGGTATCATATGAAGAAGCATGATCGTGACCCAAGTAGGGCTCGAACCCATGATCTCTGGGTTGAGAGGCAGAACACCTTAAACAACGACTTAACTTTGTATTGCTCGTGTATGTTATAACGCTGTAGTGTACGTGTATGCAGTAACGTTGTATTGCAACGTGTATGTATATGTAAATAGAAATATATGTGAGTAATTGAATATGAATAATTAAGGAGTTAAGTGTAGCACGCAAAATGAAATATCCAAAGTTGAGGTTTGAATATGTATATAAACACGTGCAAAGAACATTTAATGTGCAAACGAATATTTTCACAATTATATGAATACTGTGCGTGTCGTGTAAATGAATATCGTATAAAGACAATGTGTCATGTAAATGAATATCGTATAAAGATAATGCATGGATGAATGAATGAATGCATGAATGAATGGATCGATCGATCGATCGATCGATCGATGGTGTACGTGTAAACGAATATCGTGCGTACGTGTATATGAATAGTGTACGTGTTAATGAATATCGTATGTAAATGAATACTGTACGTGTAAATGAAAATTGTACGTGTAAACGAATATCGTACATGTAAACGAATTTCGTACGTGTAAATTAATAGTGTACGTGTAGCAGAATATAATACTTATAAATAAATACAAAACGTGAAACTGAATATTCTATTAAACATATTGATTACTAGTGTACGTTTACTTGAATATAATACTGAATGAAATACGTAGTTGTATAAAGATAATTAAAAAATATGTTTTAACCCGATTATAATATGAGAAAATCGAAAAAGAAATGATTTTAAGACAAAAAAGGCAATACTGTCCCGGGGTTCTGTTTATCAAACTGGTAAACGGGATGGGGGAAAACCAGGGCCAAATGTCCCCAAAAAGGAGGCCTAAAATTTGCGACCCCCGTAAATTTCGAGAATTTTTTACATTAACCGCTCGGTCACTGCCCCCTTTAATTTTAAACATAATTAAAAATGTTTAAAAATTTTTCTTAAATTTAAAATCTAATTATGTTGCAAGAATTTCCATTATTATGTATCAGTCGTGTTTTTTGCTATTGCAACATATTCCAGGTATTCTTAGTACAGTGCAAGCCACCTTGCGCCTGAATCAGCGGTTTGATCTCGTCAAACGATTTAAATTTTATTATTGTGGTTTTTCAAAGCACGATTTTAATGTCAACTGTAATTGTTGTATGCATAACTTATTAATCTAATCAGCTTAATTAAATCTATAGTTCAATGTATCCCCTCTAATTAATGGATATCTTGTGTTTTACTGATTCATATTACAATGTATTGTAAAGCAAAAATCATTATGTGTTAAATTTATTACCATTTTCTTGGATATTAAATGAATTACATCGACATTAGAATAAATTAACAGTATTTTAAACAAGTATTAATGAATCTTTAAACAACGAAAATTATATAAGATATATACGTAATAAATCTGAATTCATCTCAAGAATTTGTATTGTAAAACAAATGAATATGTATTTTTACAGCTAAGATAGTCCTAAAACAATTAATTCGGTCCTAAAAAGAACAATAATCAATACTACAGTTAAAAAAGTTAAAACAAAAAAAAAATTAAAATTCAGTAAACAAAACCGAAAACAAAATTTAAAATTTCCTTTATAAAGAATAAAGTTTTTAAAAACCCCCTATAAAAGTTTTAAATTTGAAATTAAAAAAGTTTTTTAATTCAGAAAAAACCTAAAAACCCCCAAAACCCCAAAAAATTTTATAAGCCCTAAAATTTTAAAATCCCTTTTGAATATGTGCCCATTGTGGACCAATTCACTTTAAACCACATTGTATATGTGCCCATGTTAGACCAATCCACTTTAAACCACATATCATTATGCTTAACAACATCACATCAGCTTCACAGCACTGGACTGGTGAGCGGACAGTGTCAGTTTTATTTTTGGGGGATACCTCATTAACATTTTTAAGACGATCTTTTCATGTCCTTTGCAAAAATAACTTTTAATGGTAAATGACTAAATGTAAAAATGAAACTAACGTATGGGAGTATATACGTAATGTATAGGTATACATACATTTGATTGTCATATAGATATAAAAACTTGCTATTTTATCACTGCATACCTCATAATTACATATATAGATAATATAATTATGATGTACTAGTGATTTATACCAAGGTCAAAATAGTTGGTTTACGAACAGTGACATTTTCCGCGCATAATTTTATTATTTTATATGTTTTATTGAGTTTTTCCCCATCTGATGCGGGGGTGTTGCGTTTATCTTTGATTTAAATGTTAACGCATTTGTCAAATGAGTTTTTGTGTGATGATCATTGAACGATGATTAGGTGATAATGATTATATATAAAATTCGTAAATGTCATCACGTGATCTTTTCACGTGATCTTTTAGAGCTGCACGCCTCCAGATAGGTGAACGAACTGAAAAAGA